CATTAAGTTCGCCGGTAACCATTTATACACCTGGGTGGAGGGAGGCACTGTGAGAGTAAAGCGTCTCGCCCAAGAACGCAACGCAAAGATCACGGCCAGGGCTCGAACCCGGACCGCTCGATCCGGGGATGAGCGCACTAACCATGAGGCCACTGCGCCTCCCGGTACTCTAAGAGGAACTTGTATTGCGTTATGACAGCGAACTTTAACTTGTACCCTTATTGGTGCGATTGCTTGATTAGAAATGAATGGGCGCTTGAATAATTAAAGGACTTGTAAACTGGACGGCTTACCTTAGGCATGATTGTGGGTTTTGCACATCTCCGCATGTTTGAGGGCAAGTCAAACTTGCATTACCACAATAACTGTATTTTTGGTCGCTTGGGCATACGGCTATAAAAAGAAGCTTAAGATAGTCAATAAATCTAAATTTGAAGACGCATAACATATAAATACTAGGACACCGCCAATCAACAAATGGTCAGCAAAGACGGACGATTTGTTTAATCATCAGTGACCAAAGCCGGAAAGGTTAGCTTTGTGACTATAAAACTGAGGGGTTGAATTGTTTTCGAGATCTATGAGAGAGGGAACCCGTTCAAGTACAACTGTCTGACAAAAGCGTGAGAAGGACGTGCACTGTCCAACAACATCAGGCGTGACACGAAAAGCCGGTTAGCTGGGAAATTTTGCTATAGAGCGTTTTCATCCACTTTGGCGGCAGCCATTCAAATTTATTGGAAGAAACGAAAGTGATTCGCATAAGGAAAGTAACTAATCTGACAAATCACGATGTTCTACTCAAACTCGTGCAATAATTGTTAAAATGTGTGTTACATCTTATGAATGATTATCGTGGTAGCTTATCTAAACGCAACGTACGCAGTCGCGAAAATAATGCCTGAAAAAAAAAATCCAGCGATTTGAAGGCGATCCTGTGCATGTTTCCACTGAAGGCTTTATTCTTGCAACTGCTTTTACTTTTAGATGTGTCCATAACTACGTGGAAGATCTTTCATGTAGTAGAAAAATGGTTTATTGAAAGAAATTAAAATCATAAGTCTAGCTGTTCGCCCATAATCGACCCTAGTTGGTTCCCGCAGGTTGCGTAACTTTCGTGAACCATCCCCCAGTTAAAGGGAATCTTGACTAAAACAAATCAGTTTTGTTCCAAAGTTGATGTTTGCGTTTAACTGTTTCAGGGATTTGAAGTCGATTATTCTTTGTCTGCTTTGAATAATGGGCGTTTCGCTTCTGCTATTTCATCATCAGTCCTAATCTCGCCATCGGACGCATAAGGCCTTATTTAAGGATTTCAAATTTTCCACGCGCCGCCACGTTCATTTTTGCAAGGCTTGAGAAATCATGACGTCATTGCGCGGTTGGACGTTTTCCAAATATAGTATTCTGTGAATCCAGAGGTATAAAGTGATTCTAATCGTTTATGATTCATATTCCGAATGAGCGGATTTATAATTTATGTTCATAAAAACTCCACTTACGTTCTGGGCACCCCTCTATTCGTCCTCTCCAGTTGCTGACCGTGAATCCATTATCTCCACAAACCTTTGCGTATCCCGCTATTACGTCACACAAGCTTTCAGGATGTCTGCACCCAGTCTTTTTAGCTTTGTCGAAGAAAGAGCTTGGTGAGATTGATTGAAGACATTTTCCAAAAGGCCCGAGAGGATCTTTTAACACACTGGCTCGTTCTTCAGACTGCTGCAGTGGTTGAGAATAGATGGAGCAATAATCTATCGAATGTGTAGGTTCAGTTTCTCCAAGTCCACTTTCTCCCAATTCGCACGTTGGTTGATCGTCAAGCTGAGGATCGAGCCAGTTCTTCAGGAAGGTCTGGGCTGTTGCAGCAACACCGCCGTTGTACAGATGGTAATCGTCCATGCTATTCCTGTTGAACGTACCACACAAACCGCATGTTTTATTCATCATCCCTGGATTGACAGTCAAGTAAATGTTTTGCCCAGAGACAATCAATTGAAATTGAGGAGTAGACACCATCGCAACATTGCCTCCATCATGTTCAACAACTATTTGGTCACCCAAGATGGCAGCGTCGTATGTCAACACAGGCTTCGCATTCATTGTTCTTTCGATGTCGATAGTTTTCCCTGCTTGCAAAGTGAGATAGACGTTTTGGCTCTTGCAATACCGGGTGAAGTCGTTAAGAGTACAATCTTTGTTTTCGATTCTCAAGTCAAACTGAAATGACGAAGCGTGACAGTGGCGTAGCAAAGAATAAGCACAAGGCTTCGGGTACACCTCGTATTCTTTGCCATCGAATGTCTTCACATTCGTGTTCGCAAGAACAGAACAGGTTCCTGTAGAAAATAAAGTTGAGTATCAGTTTTTATTAAACCTTGCTCAAAGGTAGGTCTTATTAGAAGAGGGCGACACAAGAAATCTCAAATTTACTGTACATGGGCCATTATTTAATTGTTCTTTTGATATTATTTTTCTGTTATTATTATTCCAATTATAATTATTATTATTATTATTCATCTAGTTATTTATTAATTTAATTTTATTCATTTGAACTTTGACTTTTTTCAACTCTGAAATATCTTTAAACTTTTTCACTTTTTTAATTCTTACTTTTGTACATAAATTTACCATAAACATGTACATTTTCCTCTTTTGCATAGTGTACTCTTTTTCTAAAGTATTTTTAATCTCATAGATTTTGTTATTGTCTTATTATATGGCAAGGTAGTCGTGAGGTAAATCCGAGCCCTCTGATTGGTTCTTTCTCGGTCAGGATTTTGCAATACAGACAGTTTTCTCGGTCTTAAGTCGTGTATTTTTCTCTTTGATTGCCATATAATATACGACTTACTAACCTAGCTTGCTCGAGCCGTACGAGGGAATATTGGACCTCGATCGTTTTTGTACGGACTTCGCTACGCTCGCCACGTTCCATCCGCTGTTCTTACTACTGCTCCTATCACTGCTGTTCCTACTGCTGTTGCCCCTACTACTGCTACTTCTATTGCAACTTACACTTCTGCTATTACTACTCTATTACTACTCTGGACAATACTTCTTCTGTTTCCAAAGTGGCATCAAAGATTAAGTTACCTCACCCGAAGTTTCTCCAAATTTGTTCCAAAGGTTTTTACAAAGTTGAAAAGAGAACGACTGTAGCAGAAAACTCCCCTTGTCACCAAACTACACTCAACAATCTCCCAATTAACTGGAAGAAATTTTGCTGTTCGACAAGCTGTTGCAAAAATAGGCTCAAAATGTGTTCAAGAATTTGACATCTTGAGCATTTAGGGTCATTTTATACTTACAAATCAAAATGCATTTTATTTAAAGGTATTAGAAGTTTTCATTCTCCGTAACCGCCAATCGTCAGATCATTTTGCCGTTATCTTAGAGAAAACTTCAGTTGTACGATTGTCGTTTTTTCGTTGAAAACTGCTAGAGTTATAAGAAAACAACTTAAACGGCAACAATTAAAAAAAAAACACAACACGAATGGAAATGTTCAGGTAAGCATATCTTAAAAACGTTCCACGATGTTCAGCTTTAATCCGAAAATTGAACGTTTTTTGTCCAACATATGCAAAGTCACGTGAAGAGACGAAGCTTGCCTTAAATTTTAAAAGCGGTGTGATTAATCTTCTTAAGATATTAAACCCATCCCATACACCTTATTCCAAAATGGCCGCCACTTAAGTATTCTATCGTTTTCTTGCAAATTAGCCCTTGTTGCCTCGTTCTTAAACTCAAAATTCAAAAGAATATTTTCCCTTAAACGGGGCTAACTTGCAAGTAAACAAAAGAATACTAAAATGACGGCCATTTTGGAATAAGGTGTATTCCATTCCCATTTCCTCAAATGTAAATAGCGTGATAGGGAAACAGCAATTGATCCTCTTGTAAGCGTTTTCCCTCTCAATAATCTCAAAACATTTTCCCAAATTACGCCTGGAAAACCCCGAAAGCGTGAGCACTTCGATTTCACACTAGGGGTCTGGGAGTGAGAGGGTAAAACTCATCAATGCTATAACAAGGTTGCCACCGGCATCACTTTTCAAAATTCCCTGGCTTTTCCTTGACTTTTCTTTGATAAAAATTTAATTTCCCTGATCAAATATACCCATAATTTCAGATGTAGTAGCAGCCTCCAGCCTTCCCTTACAGCAGTCCTTTCCACCCATCAAAAGACTGATACTTTTATATAAAACATTGCCTTCTTCAGTAAGGAACAAACATCGCTCAGATCACAGCGACCTGAAATGTTTTTTCTAGCCTTCAGTGGTATTAAATCAGCGGTGTTATAACTTCAACTTTCCCTGACTTTTCTTCAAATTGTCAATTTTTGCAGAATGAAAGCACAATGCCCTGACTTTTCGTGACTTTGAAGAATATTTTTTCCCTTGCCAATTCCTGACCTGTGGCAACCCTGTATAAAATAAAACATTTTAAAGTAAAACAATGGCGTCACTCACCACACTTGGCAAGGTTCGTAACGAGATTCCTCGTGATCATAGCGCTTCTCACGGTAGTAGCAGGAACATTGATCCCTGTCGACGCATTTTTTACCATCATGATATTGCCCATTTGGGCAGGTGCAACCAGGGATACATTTCGTGGAGCATTTCATGTCGAGATTTTTGCAGATTTTTGGGCAGCCTGGTGCACATTCACTGTATACCATAGTTGCTGGACACGTTATTGCTGTGAACAACATTGTGAAAAGGAAAAAAAGATTTTTAACTGGACTTCAATGAACACGTGTTTTTTCTCTGCTTGCAATATTTCCTTCCTCCACCCCCTCGAAAGAATTCTTGGATTCCATTCTTGTGACGAAGTGCTAAAGAATCGTTTTTCCGACTCTTACTGGATATTGCTCAGTTTTAACTTTCCCGCGAACAAAACGATCAATCAGAGCCAAATCTAGCCAGAACTACGAAACCCTCATGGTCTAATCCCCGATGTCCAGGATGCGAGGGAATTTCTCTTAATTACTTGTAAGAAAAGACAGATCTAGGCAGAACTAAGAAAGAATTATGGTCTCAAATCCGCTGACCCGGACGCTCTAAGTTAGCTCTTACTTGTGAAAAAATGTTGTTTGGGAGCCTATACGGTAAGGGGGCGTTCGACCAT